TTCACGAGGGGCTTACGTTTAACGGATTCCCCGTGAATTCCTGTGAAATCTTAATACGGCTCCGTGTCGGGTATTTGGCGTAACTTTCAGGCGTTCGCGCGAACTCTCTCGCGAGAAAGATGGCCTCTTGGGTGCTCTCGCGAATGTCGGGCGCGAAGGAAGGTTCTGAATTTTTCCACGCGACCGAACGACCGATTCGGGACACACGGCGAATGTAATTAAGCGCCCACGACCCCTAAGTGGATTTCGGCCGACCGACCGTTCTGACCTGAATGATTTACAGCCCGTTAACATGTGGCTCGCCCACAATGATGGAATCTTGGGGTCCTGGGAGGACGGGCACACCCCCGCCGGGCTTACCGCCGCCGCCGTCGGTCGGGAACAGCAACAACGCTGCTGCAGCGACGTCGGCGACCACCACGAGCGTCGCACAGCCCGGCACCACCGCTCCCATCGCCAGTCCCGAGGGAGTGAGCGACGTAAGTAGCAAGAAAAAGTGCAACCACTAACGGGAGAAGCTTTCTTTCGCGAACACGCCATTGCTCGAGATCTTATCGGTCTCGCGGTCGATCAAACGCCGGTAATTAAGCGGCTGTGTTAGTAATGCATACGCGTAAACGAGGCTGCGGCGTGCGTTTTAACACGCGAGATGATCACGCGCGGCCAGCCGAATTTTCCGGAGGTCGTTAATAATACGCTAATGGGAGTTTACAGGAGGGGCGAGATTATTGTTCGAGATATCCGATCAGGAATCTCACATCTCGGTCTAATCCTGTATACGTAAAATATCGATAACAATGGCCAAGACGTCGCGGACGAAACTGCGGTGTTGATACGTTATTTTTAGCCGCGGAGAAAGGAGGTGATTCGGCACACACGCGCGGAGCACTGACGAAACGGCCGTTTTAATTGCGTTTTCCGAACGTACATCCGTAACAAGTGCTAACGCGTGCTCAGCATGCACGTGCAGCTACGATACGCCGAAATTTCGGGACAAAGTTTGCGCGCGATACGACCGACACGTAGCTGCGGAACGGGCAAAGGTTATCGCACGACCATACCGAGTTAATAGCGCATGCATGAGCCACTATACAATCCGAACACATGTTAGGCTCGTGGTACACATCGACAGGTCGAAACTATCTCTCGCACCTACCTCTTCCGTCCGTTTCAATTTCGCGAGCGCGCACGATCGCCAGACGTAATGGACGCCGACCGTGCTATCGAACCGAGCTAATAGGATCAGCGGTACGTGCCCAATACGGTGTCCTGACGAGATTCCTAGAATTTTAAGGGCCCTTTTCGCGATAAAACAGCTGCCACGTCAGCGACGTAAGAGCGCGGAAGCGCTCCTTCTCTCGGCGAGCTCGAAAGCTGGGAAAACTTTCAGCAATTTTCGCGAGAGCGCTAATGAAAAGAATGTCCGGAAAAAAGGAGGCATTGTCGTGTATTAATTTAACGTCACATCGCGCGGGATATGAATCGCAAAATTAGATTAACTTTTAACTTTCTTTAATTAACATACTCTGTACACGAACAGATTCTCTTTTGAACTATATACGACTTAAATGAAAAAGAAATGAGGCAAGTATGAACGCAAATATTGGTGTGGATATCTCGATTAAGGGTAGATAACAATATTAATATTAATTAACCTCATCCTAGCTAAGGCTATATTTTTCGCAGCATTAAAAGTAAATGGCAAAATTCATCGTGCAAATAATTAGGATAAAGTAATGCGTAGAGTCAATTAGAATTAATGTTAATAATTTGGGATTCGGCGTAGAAAGTAAAGTCGATAAAGAGAGTCGATTCGACGTAGAAAGTAGATTTCATGGCGTAAGTCTGTGAAAATATTTGACGTCGATACTGTGGAAAAAATTTGGCATAATGTAAAAATTTTCACCGACATTTGCACGCTCGGCTCTTACGTGCCTTATCTCTTCTCCATGCTTTGTTTTTTTTAATTAATACCGCCAGAAACATGCGGGAAATTATTTGATGGGCGTTTTTGCATCGTGCTTTCAGGTCTCGCAAAAGTCGGGGATCTGGGATGGCCCGAACTCCTCGTCGGGCGGCGTCGCGGAAGGTCCCTCGCGGAGCGTGTCTCACGCGGCGAGCCTGGACGCAATCTCGAGAAGAACCGTGAAGCCGGAAACAACGAGGGCGCCGTGCCGCAGCCTCACCTGCAGCGTCTGTAAGTACACTCTCGATATCTCAGTCCGCCGTGGCGTTTCTATTGTTCCAATTCTACGTCTCGACGTGTCGCGAATTGTCTCTCTCTCTGATCTGGCATTAGCGCTTTCTGTGGAGCGATGTTTTACGTTGTGGCCGGCGATATGACTCTCCACCCCCCCCCCCCCCCCCCCCCCCCCCCCCCCC